CAAAGACGTAACACAGGAGGTCTTAAGGGTGTAATTTTACACCATCAATCACTATGTTGAATAATAGAAATGTTATGTTATGTAAAATATAGAACACGACCGAGCGCATTTGTGTGTGCATTGAGTGTTATAGAGTAGGGGTGTGTACGGTACGGTTCATTTCGGTTCTGAGCTAAAACCAAACACTAACCGATAATCAGTTTCTAGGAAATGAAAGTTCATAATTGTCGATTTTCATTCTGTTCGAACCATACGAATTTTCATTTTTCCATTTGATTTTCGATTTCTTTTCGGTTTTGTGTATTATTGTAACACATTTGTTTATTTTCCATTTAATTAATTTTCAATTACTCTTTTTTATAGTGCTTAATCCAAGAGTTTTGAATTAACGTTATTAAATAAGGGGCTATTTGCTACAAGCGTACGATCCAAGAGTATGAATAGCAAAACTCTTGAATTAACATTATAAAATATCAAATCAAAGTTCAAGAAAATCAAAAGGCCAATTCAACCAAGAAACTTTCAAATAAAACACTTAAGAGTTCTTAAAATTATATTGTTTACTTCGAGATTGAATAACGAAAGTCTCGAATTAACGTTATTAAATATCAGTGTCAATTTTTTTGGACATCAAGTCAACAACCCGACTCTAATTTTATATTGTTCTTGAAGAGAGGAATTAAAGTTGAACCATAGATTATAAACCATGAAATTTATCTTGATTCAATATGAATCAAGACGACCTCATTTGTATTGATCTTTTTCTTGTTAGTTAAACTCACAGAAATAGAATATGTTACAATTGCATTCGATCCGTCACTAATTGGAGATTAGAAAGAAAAATCAAGAAAATTAGCACAAATAATTAAGTCATAATAATTAGTTAACTTTTAGTCAAAGCATGAAATTTTGCAATTAAGTCTTAATCAAAAAAATTACTAGCACATAGTATATGTGTTGCTGTAGTGTTATATACATGATATGCTACATTACACAAAAAAGGAAACAAGTATTCAGACAAGTTTTTGCATGCCAAATTCATATAAATTTTGCAATTAAGGCCTTTTTTCATGCAACACAAAGCCCACGTCTTTCAACTTGGCTCTATAAAATTAAAACTTGGATAACTTAATAATCTTGTTTAAATAATAATTTTTTTTGTACTCGTTAGGTGAAAACGCATTAAATTATTAATTTGATATTTTACTAAATTAATAAAATTTTGTTAGTCCGGACTTTATTAATTTATAGAGGTCTAATTGTATACCAAAATAGATATATTCTCAATTTCTCAGTGAAAATAAAAATAAAAATAGAGTAGTTTTTCTAAATTCCAAAATAAGAAATTCTCTCAGAACATGGTTGTTTAATAAATACACAATCATGTTAACAAAATAATGTGTAAAAAGTATCTATTTTCATTCCATTTGACAAAGATATTAAGAATGAAACTAATATCTATTTATATAATTTGATGGACACGTATCTTATTACAGGCAGTCAAAAATCATGTGTAAAAAGTAGTGAGAAGAAGAGAGAGAGATATAATAAGCACATTCATTCATGGGCAATCAAATGTCTTGTCTGCCTTCTGCTCTGGATGCTTTCTTTGTCCATTTCTCAACCTTTTTTTTTCTTTTTCTTTTTTTGTTTCTCTTTTTTTTTTTTTTTCTTTTTTCTTTTTTCTTGTTTTTTGATTAAATTTTTTTGTGTTTGAAGCTTTAGAAGTAGGTAGGCCTGCCCTATACGGGGTCAATAGTTTTTAATCTATTTTGCTTTAATCAACTCTGTCAATTTTGAACTGAAACTGGGGACCAAATGAAGTAAGTGCCTTGAATTTTGTAACTTAACTACTCTCTCTCTCTCTCTATAGACACTGCCACGGGTCGGGTCGGCCCGGGCCCGCCGGGTCCGGTTCCTACTTTTTGGGGACACAAAACCGAACGGTGTGGAGGCGGGTCTGGCTTCGGGTCGGGTCCACTCAGGTCCGTGCTGGGTTCAAAACTGGTCTTTTGATTTTTTTTTTGAATCTTGACCGTTCGAAAAAAAAATTGACTTCAGTCAGACTGGGTCCGGATCGGTTCCGGGTGGACCCGAGTTTCTAGCCGTTGAAAATAAAAAAAAAGTCTAAAAAAATTGAATTCACGGACCGGGTCCAGGTCGGTCTAGTTCGCGTCCGATTTATAGCTGTTGCATTTTCAAAATAATAAAAAAAAAAACATTTTTTTATTTGGGTGGACCCGATGGGTCCCCCGCCGGGTAGACCCGTCGGGTCTCGGGTCCGATAAATCAAGACCCGAAACCGACCCATGTAAAGTTGGGTCCAAGTCCGAGTCCGGGTCCGGGTCCAGGTCTTCGGGTCCCCCCGCCGGGTAGACCCGTCGGGTCTCGGGTCCAATAAATCAAGATCCGAAATCGACCGATGTAAAGTCTGGTCCTGGTCCGGGTCCAAGGGGTGCGGGTCGGTTCCGGGGCGGAGCGGATCCAAATTTGGGTCGGGTTCGGATCCAACCCAGTCCGTGGCCGTGTCTATCTCCATGTATAAATATATATGGCCATTTAATATAAGTTGAATTACGGACACCCCTAAGTAAAGGTCAAATTAAGAAAAAAATTCATGCTCGGGTAATCGAATCACTTCTTCAACTATATACTATCTTACACGTCTATTTTCGCGGTGTCAGATTTACCAACAAGAATTTTTTTCACAAAAAAAATACTAGTTGAAGGAAGTATTTGTAATTACTCAATTACATGAGGGGAGTGTTTTCGTAATTTGACCTTACATTTGAGGGTAAGCCATAGTTTGGCCTATTTTTTATGTAGATATTGATTTTCATTGCACATATACACTTGTATATTAACTACCAACATCGTTAATTGTACGTGTCGATTTTATCTTATTTTATGTTTGCCATGAAATAGGAATGCACAAGAGATTGAACAAGAACAACAACCTATCGTGCATAGAAAAATTTAACATAAATTTATATAAGTTAAGACTAATTCACTCATTTAGAACGTAATTGATCAAAACTCTTTCAAAAGCAAATCCGGCTGCACAATTGAAGTGTCGAATACACGTTCATTGGGAGGACGATTTTTGGGGGAGAACAATAAATATAGGGACATTTCACAAAAATAAAATGAACACAATTTGGTGTAGGGGTGGAAATCGGACGGAATGGATCAGAAATGTCTTTTTTGGAAATTTTCCATTTTTTTCGGAAGTTAAAAATAGGTTCCAATTTCCGTTCCAAAAAAATCGGAATTTCAAAATCCATTTTAATTTCGGAATACCTCGGAATCGGCGGAATTTCGGAATTTTCGGAAATTGCATTAATTCTTAATTTTTAGTTCCAAATCGGAAATAGTAGTAATTTTTAGCATTTGTTTTTCTAATATTTTCGTAATTTTTCGGCAAAAGGCAAGAATCCAAAACAAAGGTCAACAAGATGAAGTATAAACACTTGTAAAAACAACATAATCAGTTTATCAAGGCAATCATAGTTCTTGCAATATATATGATCCGGACCGGAATTACTCGATAAGGCCCAAGTCAAAAGACCATTAAGGATAGATGGGCCCAGCTAATACGGCCCACCCAAAGAACCAGGCCCAAGGTTATGAATGACCCGGAAAGTCTGTCTGGCCCACCTGCACCAAGGGGTGACGGAAAGACGCCTCGACCCCGCGAGAGGACCTTACAGGCCGGAGAGGTCATAAATGAGGAGCGGCGCATTTAATGCCCTGACAACCGCATTAAATGACGAAATGACCAGGAGCGGCCAAGCGGCTGATGCCCAAACGCCTCAGTCAGACCTACTGGAGGGATCATCATGACTCCGGCCGTCCGGGCGGCCCGGATAGAAGGGTGGCTGCCGCTAATGTCCCATCTGAATTCCCGGGTCAGTGAGTACTGGACCAAAGGGCATGTATAAAAGGGGAACGTGCCCGCCCCAAAAGACCAGACTTCTTTTTACTCCTTCATATACATAAAAAAACATACGTAATCCTCATGAAAAACAGTGATTAAACCGTTACTGACTTGATCGTCGGAGTGCTAACTCCGGCATCAGTCCGGCTTTTCTTTTACAGGTAACGGGAAAGGCGGGAACATCCAGCTCAACTGTTTTCTGACGGATCAATTGGCGCCGTCTGTGGGAAACAAACGATCACAAGTAAAACCAAGTGAGCCCTCCGTCGTCCAGCGTTGCTAGGTGTTATCAATGACCACGCCTGTGGAGGTGGTCCGAAACCTGTCGGGGCAGCTGGACGAAGAATCGACCCCCCCGTCACAAGTCGCCAGGAATGAGCCTCCCTCGAGCACACCGAGGGAGGAACAGACTCCTGGTGCTGGAAGTTCGCTCCTCGGAGACGGTAGTTCTACCATAACGCTCAGCTTGGAAAATCTGAAGTCTCTGATCGCGGCGGCAGCAAGGGGGTCGTCATCCCCGGGGAAAGCAGGGGACGTAACCACTAAAAGAAAAACGGCGGACGACGAGGAGGCCAGACGGCAGGCCGATGAGTGCGAGGATGTCCCTCCGGAGGATGATGAAGGGATGACAGGATCGCCGTTCATAGAAAGGCTGCAGCATGGCGAGTTACCCGCAACTTTCAAGCATGTCACATACGAATATACCGGCACCACGGACCCCTGGGAACACCTATCAAGATTCATTACCTCGGCCTCCCTCCATCGACTGACTGACGGCGTAAAATGCCGGGTATTCGCAACCACGTTGGCGGGTCCAGCTCAGAGGTGGTTCAGCCAGCTCCCGCGCTGCTCTGTACACAGTTTCGCGCAATTCAGTGAAGTATTCCTAAACCACTTCGCCAGCTCGAAAAAGCAAAAAAGAAGCACCCTCACCTTATTCGCAGTACGACAGAAGGAGAACGAACCCCTAAGGAGCTACGTACAAAGGTTCAACTCGGCGACTTTGGAGGTCCCTGCTACCAGCGAGGAAGTACTCATCAACGCGTTAGCACAAGGATTGCGCATGGGAGAATTCTTCGACTCCCTCTCCAAAAAGGCCCCCGTATCCTTTAACGACCTGCTCAGAAGGGCGGAAAAATACATAAACGCAGAGGAAGCTCGAAGGAGTAGAACCATGGAAAGCACGCAACCGGCAGAAAGGCGAAGGGAAAGGCCCCGCGAGGAAATGAGGAAGCAGGAACCTACCCCTAGGCGAGAGCCGGGCATGGACAGACGGGTGGGCCCTCGCTTCGAAAATTACGCGCCCCTCTCTTCGGCCCCCTCGGAAATATTGGTCGCCATTGCCAACCACCCCAAGCTCAAATGGCCCCGAACATATGCAGAGGTGCCAAGAAAGTCCGCCAATGCAGGACCATATTGCAAGTTCCACAACGAGCATGGCCATTCTACCGATGAGTGCCAGCACCTGAGAGACGAGATCGAGAGGCTGATCAGAACCAAGAATCTATCGGAGTTCGTTGGTGGCGGTCCCAGCGGGACGAAACATGCCAAAAAAGGGGAGGGGCCCAGCCGAGCAACAGGCAGTACTCGCGGAACCACCGAAGCCCAACCCCCGAATAATTACATCCATACGATCTTTGGGGGCCCGATCGGCGGGGATTCGAACAGATCTCGACGAGCGCACTTAAGGGAGCTACAGGAACTAAGGGGAGAGCTCGCCATGATGTACCGCGTCTCAGTGGCCCCCCCAATCACGTTCGGAGTACAGGACGAAACGGGAATACAGCAGCCCCATAATGACGCGCTGGTCATCACCGCCACGGTAGCCAATTACGATGTGGCCAGAATACTAGTGGATACAGGCAGCTCAGCGGACATCATTTACTACGAGTGTTTCAGGCAAATGAGGCTAAACTTCGAAGTCCGAAGGGTGGACACGGCGCTCATCGGTTTTGCAGGAGAGGTGGTGCAACCCATGGGAGAGGTAACACTGCCCGTATCCCTGGGGACTGAGCCCCTACGCGCCACCCGAGCCGTCAGGTTCCTGATCATAGACGCGCCATCGACGTATAATATGATAATGGGGCGACCCTCAATGAACTCGTTCGAGGCCGTTGTATCCACTTTCCATATGAAGATGAAATTCCCAGTCTTAGATCGGGTGGGCGAAGTACGGGGGGACCAAGAAACATCAAGGCGATGCTACAACCAAGCGCTGAAGGGGCAAAGGCGCATCAATCCCGTCGGATGGGGAGGACGCTCGGCGCAGCCCGAGGGCAATGATGCGGATAAGACAAAGGAGAAGAGGCCTCGCGAGGACTCGGATGAAGAAAGGGAGGGTCACATCCAACCAATGGAGGAATTACGAGTGGTTCATCTAAGCGAGAGCGACCCTACCCGGGTCACCAAAATAGGGACAAGGATGGACAGCGAAACGGCTGAGAGGCTGATATCATTCCTGCGAGACCACCAGGACGTGTTCGCTTGGTCTCCTAGAGACTTGATCGGGATAGACCCTACCATAGCCATCCACAGGCTAAACGTAAAGCCCGATGCTGGCCCCGTAAAACAGAAGAGAAGACACTTCGGAGCGGAGAAGGATAGAATCATTGGGGAGGAAGTAAAAAAGTTACTCGAGGCCGGGCATATCAAAGAAGTCCGGTTCCCGACCTGGCTGTCAAACGCTGTACTGGTGAGAAAGACGGACGGAAGATGGAGGATGTGCATAGACTTCCGTGACCTAAACCAAGCCTGCCCAAAGGACCACTACCCCTTACCAAGGATTGACCAGCTCGTGGACTCAACCGCGGGGTGCGCAATGTTGAGCATGATGGACGCCTCACAAGGGTACCATCAGATTCGCCTGGGTGAGGAGGACCAGCCCAAGGTAAGCTTTGTAACCTCTACAGGAACGTACTGCTATGTCGTGATGCCATTTGGGTTGAAAAACGCGGGCGCAACATACCAGAGATTGGTGGACACCATGTTCCGAGCACAGCTGGGGCGAAACATGGAAGTATATGTGGATGACATGCTGGTCAAAAGCAAGGAGACCAACGAGCATATCGACGACCTGCGGGAAACATTCACGACGCTACGAAAGTACGGAATGAAGCTCAACCCTACCAAGTGCGCATTCGGCGTAGAAACGGGAAAATTTTTAGGATACATGGTAACAAAGCAAGGAGTGGAAGCTAATCCAGAAAAAGTACGGGCCATAATGGAAATGCGGCCCCCAAGAAATATAAAAGAAGTACAGACGTTAGCTGGTAGAATCACAGCGCTAAGCCGCTTCATCTCGCGGGCAGCTGATACCAGCTACCCGTTCTTTAGGATCCTGCGCAAAGGCCACCGCTTCCAATGGGGTGATGAGGCCGATCGTGCGTTCGAGCAGCTGAAGAAATCCCTCACTCGGCTACCCCTGCTCTCGAAACCGGAGGTCGGGGAAAGATTGTACGTTTACCTGGCGGCAGGAGGCCAGGCCGTGAGCGCGGTACTGCTAAGCGAAAGAAACGGAATTCAGCGTCCTGTTTACTACGTAAGTCGGATGCTCAGAGGAGCTGAAAAGAATTACTCGGAGATCGAGAGGGCAGGATTGGCCCTAGTGGCCACGGCGCGAAAATTGAGACCGTATTTCCTATCGCACACGATAATAGTGCGAACCAATCTTCCCTTAAAAGGAACGTTGGGGAAGATGGACGTGTCCGGCCGAATGGTTAGATGGGCAGTAGAGTTAGGACAATTCGACATCGGGTACGAGGCGCAGGCCGCCATCAAGGGGCAAATACTGGCAGACTTTTTACAAGGGGCGCCCCAGGAGAAAGAAGTCGGGGTATGGAGGATCTTTATCGACGGCTCCGCCACCCAGTCGGGAAGCGGAGCCGGGGTGTTATTAGTCGATCCGGAAGGGGAGGAGTATGAATATGCGATTCGGTTGGCCTTTCGAGCGTCGAATAACGAAGCTGAGTATGAAGCCCTGTTGCACGCCCTGCAACTGGCCTCCGATGCAGGAGTCGATTCTTTGGAAATGCTCTCCGACTCGCAACTAGTCGTCCAACAATTCAACGGTGTGTTTGAGACCAAAGACGAGCGAATGGGGGAGTACTGCGTCAGGGCAAAAAGGCTAGCCGAGAAGTTCCATAGGATGACGCTTAGACAGATCCCGAGGGAGGAAAACGAAAAGGCGGATTTCCTGGCGAAAATAGGAAGTATGTCTACCGACTGTACCTCAAGGAAGGTAACAATCCTCGAGGGACAGCCAAGAGAGTGCCATGAGGTGGCGACAGCAGGATTAACCAAGGACTGGCGGCAAAGCATCATAGGATGCTTAAGGGGCGAAGTATTACCCTGTCGGAGGGAACAGAGCAAGTTAGAAATAAGGTCGAGAAACTTTTGTCTGGATAGAGGGATACTATATAAACGCGGATTCACCAGACCCCACCTGAGATGCCTCAGTGAGGCCGAAGGAGCCAATGCGATCAGAGAGGTCCACGAGGGTTGTTGTGCGGATCATGCCGGAGGCCGAGCGCTCGCAACACGATTACTGAGAGCAGGGTATTTCTGGCCAACTATGAGGAAAGACGCGGTACAATTTGTAAAAGGTTGTGACAAATGTCAGAGATACGGCCCACGCATACATACGCCCGGGGAGGAGATGACAATAGTAGACGCCCCTTGCCCATTCGCCCAATGGGGAATCGACATCGTGGGCCCCTTACCTCTCGCAGCGGGGCAAAGGAAGTTTCTGATAGTCGCCATAGATTACTTCTCCAAATGGGTCGAGGCCGAGGCCTTGGCGAGAATCACGGACTCAGAAGTAATGAAGTTCATATGGCAAAACATATGTTGTAGATATGGACTACCAAGAGACCTCGTCTCGGACAACGGCACGCAGTTCAATTCGGCCCGAATAACGAAGTGGTGTAAAGGCTTGGGTATAAGTCAAAGATACGCGGCGGTGGCGCATCCGCAAGCAAATGGGCAGGTCGAGGTAACAAACAGAGTTATAATCGAGGGCATCAAGAAGCGGTTGGACAAAGCAAAAGGGAATTGGGTCGACGAGTTGCACTCGGTTTTATGGGCGCACCGGACCTCCCCCAAGGAAGCCACGGGAGAGACTCCATTCTCGCTAGTACACGGGTCGGAGGCGGTGATACCACTAGAGATCGGAATACCCTCAAGGCGAGTGAAAAACTTCAACGAGCCGAAAAATGAAGAAGAACTAAGAATCAGCCTGGACCTGACAGAGGAGCTGAGAGAGCAGGCCGCAATCAGAATGGAAGCAAGTAAGGCGAGGATAAAAAACGCCTATGACAGGAAAGTAAAGAAGAGGCACTTCCAGGTGGGAGATCTGGTGCTCAAGCAAGCGGACGCCCTAAAGGCTACCGGAAAAATGGAACCTAACTGGGAAGGACCCTACATCGTCAAAAAGATACTGAAAGGAGGAGCATACGAGTTGGCTACAGCCAACGGGAGTAAACTCCCCCGGCCATGGAATGTAGGACACCTAAAAAAATATTTTGCATAAGTGCGCAGTTTCCACTTTTTGTTACGATTTTTGATAGGGATGAGAACAATGTCCCAAGTAATATGCATGAAGTTTTTTCTGAAAAAGTGAATGAAAATTACCTTTTAAATTGACGTTATACATAAGCCGAGCTTGAGCTCCCCGATAGAATGCCCGAAGAGCTCGAGCTCCGGGCCGAGTAGAGCGAGCGCGGTGAGTATTGAGAAAATCTCTTGAAAGACTTTTTCTCAAGTACCCCGCTCGGAACCTCGAGGCATAAGCCGAGCTCGAGCTCCCGGATAGAATGCCCGAAGAGCTCGAGCTCCGGGCCGAGTAGAGCGAGCGCGGTGAGTATTGAGATAATCTCTTGAAAGACTTTTTCTCAAGTACCCCGCTCGGAACCTCGAGGCATAAGCCGAGCTCGAGCTCCCCGATAGAATGCCCGAGGAGCTCGAGCTCCGGGCCGAGTAGAGCGAGCGCGGTGAGTATTGAGAAAATCTCTTGAAAGACTTTTTCTCAAGTACCCCGCTCGGAACCTCGAGGCATAAGCCGAGCTCGAGCTCCCCGATAGAATGCCCGAGGAGCTCGAGCTCCGGGCCGAGTAGAGCGAATAAGGTGAGAATCGGGAAAATTTCTTGAAAGAAATTTTCTCAATACTCACCACGCTCGGAACCACGAGCATAAATCAAGCTCCGGGTTGAGATTAGAAAACGCAGAAGTCACTTGGGAAACTTTCACCGAAAATCAACAATCACCCAACGATACACGAGCAAACAATAACACATAGATATAAGAAATTTCCCGTTTGAGATAGCGCACATGATAGAAGCAGAATATTTAGATGTTCAAAATAGTTCAACAAAAAGAGAAACAAGAAAAAGAAAAAACAAGAAAAAGAAAAACAAGAAAAAGGAAACAACTGCAAGGGCTTCAGATCAGGACGACGAGGAACGATGGGCGGTCGCTCCAACGGAGGACGGAGTGGCCAGAGGAGCAGAAGAAGCAGGGGCAGGATGGGTCCCGGAGGCGGGTGGCAAGGTAGGCGCCGGCAAGGGACTAACGGTCGCTGAGGACTCCGCGCCAACCGGTCCGGCAGCTCGTGGTGCTGGAAGCTGAGGAGCACAGGTCGAACCAACCGAAGAAAGCAGGTCATCTACGATAGACTGCCACCAGGCATAGTCAACCGGCTCGCGGGGATCGCCTTTCCACAGGGGAAGCGTCCTGCTGATTTTGCCAAGGACAACCGAGGGCTCGTAACGAACGGACGCTTGCTGCTCCGCCGCCAAAACTTCACACGCAGCAATGGTTTGCTTCACATAATACATCCCGATGGGGCAGGCATCCTTCAAGAAAAGCTTGGTATGCGGATACCTCTGGAATAGCTTGACCCGATATTGATCAAGAACCGCCAGACCTTCCGCGGTAGCCAAAAGATCACCCAGGGATCTCTCTCGTTCGGTGGTGACGCGGCGTGAAAGCTCCTCCTGGAAGTCGCGCTCCTTGATCTCCAGTTGACGGACAGCCAAGTCTCTTTCTTCATGCGCCCGAGCAACCTGTCCTTCCAAGGCGCTTCTCGTCTCACATAGCTTCGATTGAACCTCTTGGAGTCTCTCCTCGGCAAGCTCGCATTGCTTGGACAGCGAGCCGTTCTCAGCCATCAAAGCGTATATCCGCGAGGATGCCCGCTCGAGGGCGGTGCGGGCGTTAGCAGCCTGCGAGGATAGCTCACGTACCGCTTGATCATGAACTGAGGGGTCATCCTCGCCAAAGCCCGAGGCAACGATAGAGCTCGCCTAAAAAAAAAAAAAAAAAAAAAAAAAAAAAAAAAAAAAAAAAGGAAGAGTGAGGAAGGCTGTAAACGAGGTGCAAATCACAAAGTGGAAAAGAGGCGCGTACCTGAGCCAAGCAGAGAGCCAGCTTCGCACGACGAGACGAGTGAGGAAGGTCATTCAGATAGGACGAATCCCCGGCGGCCTGAACCTTGGATAGCTGGCGAATGGCGAAGTCCACAGAACCTTCAGAATCATCCACGGAGAAGAGACAAGGAAGATCAAACCGAGCCCTCTTGGACGGCGGGGTGGAGTCACTCGGTAGGGGCCGTTTTGAGCTGGCCCCCGCCGATTCCCCTTGGGCCTCCTCGAGCCCTAGACTGCCACCTAGGGAGACCGCCGGATCACGCGTCTCAGCCTCACTATCCAGAAGATCGATAACAGCATCGGGGACAGCCAGCTGTAGGTTGGATGAGGGGAGTGCGGCGCGGGAAGGAGAGTTGGAACTGTGCGACGGAAACTCAGCCCCGAGAGGAGGAGCCTCGGGGATGGTGGAGCCGGTCGCCGCAGGAGAAGGCGCGGACGGACCTTCGGCCCCCTTTTTCTCGGCTTCCGCCATCTCCATCAGCATATCAAGCATCATCTCGCCTGACACAAGGGAAAACGATCAATATGAAAGCAAAAAAAAAAAAAAAAAAGGGGGGGGGAAAAGGTCGGGGTAAACTCGTATATACCCCAGGGCCGGCGGTCAAAGGAAGGCAGGCGCCAGAGGCCGGCGCGAGAAAAGAGGGGGGTGGTGCTGACAATTTTTTCGACATTCCAAGCCCGAGGACGAACGCGAGCAAGCAGACGGGCAGTCTCCTCGTCAAAATTAACATCCAAAACAACGCGTTTTGGGGACTTGGCAGGAGGAGAAGGATCGAAAGGCCACGGAGACGGCGGGCGAGCAAAAAAGAACCGCCGCTGCCACGAGTCAACCTTGGTGACCAGGCCAGCAAAGAGACGGCCAACGCGAGTGGAGAGATGGAAGTAACCCGAGGGTGACCGGTTATGAGTAAACAGAGAAAAGAACAACTCAGGGCGGGGGTCGACACCAGTGCCGACACAAACGATATAGAAACAAGACATAAACTTTATGGCATTAGGATGAAAAAGGTGAAGGGGAACCTTATAAAGACGGCTGACGTCGACAAAGAAAGGATGTAGGGGAAAGGATAAACCAGCTTTAAACTGATCAAGATACCAAGTGAGGTATCCCGCGGGAGGGTTAGAAAAAGTTTGGCTGCGAGAGGGCACAAGGAGGTGAAAGGCGGGATCCAACCCTTGGGTAACATACAGAGCCTCGAGGTCGAATTTATCAACCAGAGAGTGAGTGGGTTTCTCTGCCATCTTCTTCTTCCCCGTTTTTGAGGAAGAGAGAGTCGCGGTCTTGCGTGGGCCGGGTCGCCGGCGCCCCGTCCGAGGAACCGGGACCGGGGCAGCCGAACCCGTTCTCTCTGAAGAAGAAGAGGAGGAAGTATCCTGGGAGACCATGGCCGGAGAAACGAAGGGAGGGCAATCGCGAGTATAAAAAAAAAAAAAAGAGAAAAACAAGAGAAAGGGGGCGAAAGAAGCAAAAGGGAGATGGAAATAGGAAAGTACCTGGTAGAGTCACACGCTAAACGGAGGGAAGATGTAAAGAGGAAAGGGGGTGAGCAGTGATGAGGAATGGATAGGGAGGGATGTTATTCAAAAATAAACCACTGGGCAAGTCGAAACGACGTCGGTAATAAAGGGGCACAGAAAACGAAAAGCCCCGCGTGGGCGGCGGAAGCCTGGGGATATGTGCAAAAAGCAGGGAAGGTTAAGGATGGCCGGCTCAAGGGGCTCGATCGATTGAACGACACCCGGATCAGAAGAGCATGAACCGAGTCAACTCCGGATCCCAAACTGAGGTATGGAACCCGAAGTGGGGGACTAGTTGATCCGGACCGGAATTACTCGATAAGGCCCAAGTCAAAAGACCATTAAGGATAGATGGGCCCAGCTAATACGGCCCACCCAAAGAACCAGGCCCAAGGTTATGAATGACCCGGAAAGTCTGTCTGGCCCACCTGCACCAAGGGGTGACGGAAAGACGCCTCGACCCCGCGAGAGGACCTTACAGGCCGGAGAGGTCATAAATGAGGAGCGGCGCATTTAATGCCCTGACAACCGCATTAAATGACGAAATGACCAGGAGCGGCCAAGCGGCTGATGCCCAAACGCCTCAGTCAGACCTACTGGAGGGATCATCATGACTCCGGCCGTCCGGGCGGCCCGGATAGAAGGGTGGCTGCCGCTAATGTCCCATCTGAATTCCCGGGTCAGTGAGTACTGGACCAAAGGGCATGTATAAAAGGGGAACGTGCCCGCCCCAAAAGACCAGACTTCTTTTTACTCCTTCATATACATAAAAAAACATACGTAATCCTCATGAAAAACAGTGATTAAACCGTTACTGACTTGATCGTCGGAGTGCTAACTCCGGCATCAGTCCGGCTTTTCTTTTACAGGTAACGGGAAAGGCGGGAACATCCAGCTCAACTGTTTTCTGACGGATCAATTGGCGCCGTCTGTGGGAAACAGACGATCACAAGTAAAACCAAGTTAGCCCTCCGTCGTCCAGCGTTGCTAGGTGTTATCAATGACCACGCCTGTGGAGGTGGTCCGAAACCTGTCGGGGCAGCTGGACGAAGAATCGTACCCCCCGTCACAAGTCGCCAGGAATGAGCCTCCCTCGAGC